TCTTTTAATTCTAAAAAACCAAAGTATACAAACTCACGAACCAAGTTATTTGAATTTTTTTTTAAGTTTTTTTTTATTTTATTCATATTTTTCTTTATCTTTTTAAGGTTTTAAAAACATTATTACAAAAGTCAATGAAATTTCACGTACGTTCTTAAATGAATTTCCAAATTGTAACATCTTGGTTTTGTTAAACCGGCCTGTTATTTTTTTTTCTTTAATATTTGAAGCACATAGGTCCGTTAAGCCCATTAGATTATAAAAACTCTAATTCTAGAGTTCTCCCTCCTCTATATAAAGAGAGTTAGAGAGTCAGAATTGACATCACAATTCCCAAAGCACTCAGAGATAGAAACCATAAATCCTAGCCTTCAGCCGTCGCCGCCCGCTGCCGAGGGAGAGAGGAGCCGCCGTCGCCGTCTCGCCGTCTTCTTGCGTTTTCTGCTTCTTGTCGTTAGATCCCTAAACCTTAACCCATTTTGTTTTAGCAGTTCATTCAATCCGTGAAACGTGGGGATGTATCCATGCCTTTCCTTTCGTGTTATCTTCCTTGCTTGTCTCTGGTTAAGGATAAGTGGAACTCCTTCCCCCTTACAGATTGCGCTTATGGCGTAACTTGTAGTTACTTGTTGTGTGCTTGATTTACTTTTATTTGATTCTGAACATAGATCTAGGACCACATATAATATTGTTGATTGCTGTTTGGTGTTTGATTTCTTGTAAGAATTATGGGTTGCATTGCATATAAAGTGTTAAGAGCACAATTACATTAGGAGCCGAAAGTGATGCAGTTCCACTTGTCGGATTGTTGAGGTTACCGTAGATGCAGTTCCTACCTAGATACGAGGTCCAAGAGTGATGCAGTTCCACTTATCAGATTGCTTGGGGTTACAGTGATGCAGTTCCTACCTATACCGATAGTTGAAAGTGATGCAGTTCCACTTGTAGGGTTGTTGAGGTTATGGTAGATGCAGTTCCTACTTATACCTAATATGATTGCTTGTTATGTTTATGGTAGATGTAGTTCCTACGTAGACCTATTATGATTGTTTGTTGTTTGTTGATTATTGAATAGTTGTGAATGCTTGTTCGTTTAGCTGATGGCTAGCGACATGTTTAGGTTGTGATATGTGTGGTGGACCACATATATGGATTCTCCTGTGTAATCTAAATTACTCACCCCTCCATGTCCCCTTTCTCCTTGCGCAGGTGAGCAGGAGCAGCAGCAGTGATGGGCGCGTGATGGTGGTGATTAATTCTTTAGTTCGATCCTTTGGGGAACCTGAGACACTTAGCTTTCAATTTTCAAATGATTTCAGTTGGTTTTGAGACTTGATTATGGTTTATTTTGAGTTGAGTTGGTATTTGCAAGTCTATTTGAGTTTATTTAATAAAGGGTATTGGCTTATTGTGATTATTGTGTGGTAACTTGGTTGGAATGTTGAGTGTATAACACGTCATCTCATCTGTGGAGAGACAGGTGTTACAGGTGGTATCAGAACCTAGGTTACAAGTCAAACCGGTTCCGACCCAGGAGACTGTGTTTTCAAAGGAAAAATCGTTTTCAAAAGTTTTTAAAGTGGGTTGGGGAATTTTCAAAAGTTAAACAGAACACACCTCACCTCATCACTCTGCTCTCCAAGCTCAGTAAGTTAGTATTTTTGTTACCTTCAGCATTGTCTTCAATCCATCTTCGTCTATTGTCTTCATATGTGGTCTACATCATCTAGTGTCTGCTGTATCTACATTTGTAGTGGCTAATCGAATCGTAGGACCTGATTCTGATTACTTATTCTTGTGAATAGATGCCACCATAGGGACAACGTTTGACTAGGGCTGGTGCGCGTCGTGAGAGTGAGGAACCAAAACCAATTCATCAGAAAGTGTGAATGGAAGCAATACCGAGCGGACTCGTGCCAGGGAGCAGGCAGACGAAGCATGTCCTCAAGCCTTTGCTGCGCAACAGGCTTTGGCTGCGGAACAGGACCGTGCTGCCGCCCAAGCTCGAGAAGAGCAGGCGTGTGCAGTTAAGCAAGCGCAAGTTGCAGACCAAGCGCATATCGCAGAGATAGCTGCTGAAAGAGAAGAGCTAATGAGGTACCGCGAGAGGTATGGAAATCCTTTTTGTGGAGGCCTCAACGCGAGGGAAGCACATGAAGGTCTAATCCGCATCATGACAAGCCACGTGAGGAGACAATTGGAAGAAGAGGTTGGAGAGGAACCTAGATGGAGCGAGATGTCCACCAGCATACCGCAGAGACGTGGTCATCCAGTACCCGAAGGATGAGGCACTGGTCTGGTGGGAAGGTCTTGTGGAGAAGACTGAGGGACGGTATGAACTTACTTGGGAAGATTTCAAGACAGAATTCTCCTGTAAGTACTTTTCTCGCGAGGCGATGGAAAAGATGGTGAGTGCATTCCAAGACTTGCGTCAGGGAAGTAAGACCGTACGTGAGTACGAGGAGTTCAATCGTTTGAGGAGATTTGCTAGTCACTACCCAAGGGAGCAAGAGTTGATCCACTCTTCCTAAGGGGGATGAGGGTCGAACTCAAGAATCGCTGCTCCATTAGGAGGTATGACAGCATGATCGATCTTGTAAAAACAGCTGCAATGCCGGAGGTTGGTCTTGATGATGAGCAAAAGCTGGTGCAGAACGCCCAAGAAAGGACCGCTAAGGGAACGGAAACATATAAGCGAACTTGGGATATTGCTATCCAGAAAGAAGGGGTTATTCCACCTTGTGTGAAGTGTAAAATGGTGCATCGCGGTGTGTGCAAGGAGGGTTTGTGCTTCTGGTATGATCAGCCAGGACACATTGCACGGGAATGCCCAATAGCATTAGCAATAGGACAATGTAGTTGTTGTGGATGGTTGGGACATTTTGCAAAGGATTGCAGAGCATACATACCACAGCAGGTAGGAGTCAAACAAGCACAGTTGTCGCCACCACCTAAGAGGCACGCCCCTGGACCGCGTGTTCTCATGGCAGGAAAATCATGAAGGGGCTGAACCGATTGTTGGTAAGTAACTCCGTCATTGTGGTCCAGTTGTTTAGTTTTGTTTGCCTATAGAGTAGAACTCTAGAAGTGGATGGTCCATTGGGAAAGATCCATTTGAAAGTTTGGTCGGAAACCAAGTGGGGGAGAAGTAGTCCCATGAATTCGGGGACGAATTCCTTTCAAGTGGAGGAGAATTGTAACAGTCCAGTTTTGCTAATCCGGCCTATTATTTTTTTTCTTTAATGTTTGAATTCCAAAAGCCTGTTAAGCCCATTAGGTTATAAAAACCCTAACCTTAGAGTTCTCTCTCCTCTATATAAAAAGAGTTAGAGAGTCAGAATTGACATCACAATTCCCAGAGCACTCAGAGATAGAAACTCTAAACCTAGCCTTCAGCCGTCGCCGCCCGCCGCCGAGGGAGATAGGAGCCTCCATCACCGTTTGTTTCGCCGTCTCACCGTCTTCTTGCATTTTCTGCTTCTTATCGTTAGATCCCTAAACCTTAACCTCTTTTGTTTTAGCTGTTCATTCAATCCGTGAAAGTGAGGATGTATTCATGCCTTCCCTTCCATGTTATCTTCCTTGTTTGTCTCTGGTTAAGGATAAGCGGATCTCCTTCGCCCCTGCAGATTGCGCTTATGGTGTAACTTGTAGTTACTTGTTGTGTGCTTGATTTACTTTTATTTGTTTCTGAACATAGATCTAGGACCACTGTTAATATCGTTGATTGCTGTTTGGTGTTTGATTGCTTGTGAGAATTGTGGGTTGCATTGCATATAGAGTGTTAAGAGCACAATTGCATTAGGAGCCGAAAGTGACGCAGTCCCACTTGTCGGATTGTTGAAGTTGTGGTATATGCAGTTCCTACCTAGACATGAGGTCCGAGAAGTGATGCAGTTCTACTTATCGGATTGTTCGGAGTTACGGTAGATGCAGTTCCTACCTATACCGATAGTTGAAAGTGATGCAGTTCCACTTATAGGGTTGTTGAGGTTATGGTAGATGCAGTTCCTACTTAAACCTAATATGATTGCTTGTTGTGTTTATAGTAGATATAGTTCCTACTAGACCTATTATGATTGTTTGTTGATTGTTGATTATTGAATTGTTCGTTTAGATGACGGCTAGCGACATGTTAGGTTGTGATATGTGTGGTGGACCACATGTATGCATTCTCTTGGGTAATCTAAATTACTCATCCCCTCCTTGTCCCATTTCACCTTGCGCAGGTGAGCAGGAGCAGCAGCAGTGATGGGCGCGTGATGGTGGTGATTAGTTCTTTAGTTCGATCTTTTGGAGAACCTGAGAAGCTTAGCTTTCTATTTTTAAATGATTTCAGTTGGTTTTGAAACTTGATTATGGTTTTGAGTTGGTATTTGCAAGACTATTTGAATTTATTTAATAAAGGGTATTGATTTACGATGACTATTATGTGGTAACTTGTTTGGAAAGTTGAATGTATAACATCATCTCATTTGTGGAGAGACGGGTGTTACACATATAGTGAATTTTTCAAGTTCAATCATACTCTTCTACAATTAAGTACCCTACCATCACTAAGCATAACCTCATATTTGTTGTTCATAAGCTTTATCAGTTTTCTAATGTATCTAAGAAATTCACCTTCATTCCTCATAGTTTTTGCGTCGGAGGGAAGGTACAACAAGTAGGCAATTTGGTAAAAAAATAATGATGTATTTCAATATTTTGGATACTTCTCGGATATCTGTTGAAGTCTGTGTAGTAGTTTGAATCTAATTTAAGTTCGCTTCTAACCTTTAGATTGCTCATAAAGTCAGAGACTAAAAAGAAGAAAGTTGTTGCTCCCGTGATAATGTTTCTGATATGGATTATTATTACTTCAAGAGTTGGATATAATCTATTTAACTACTCTTATGAATTATGTCTTGTGTGGTTGACTTATTCCACCGATGTTTCTACTATCTTTAACTACTCATATATGTCTTGTTCATAATCGGTACCAAAATCTGTTGCTTTCTCTCCGGAAAACCAATTTTATTAAATCTTTGGAACGCTGGTTAAGTAAGTCTACGACTGAAATGGATGTTTCATTGCAAATTTTCGCAAGTTTTTGTAACAAATCCATCATTAAAAATTTAATAATTCCTTATAAATAGCGTAGCCTGGGATGTGAAAACCATAACACAAAACACCAACATAACATACCAAAAAATACGAAATAAATATCAAGAATCAGCTATCATCTTAGGTGATTCGCCTACTACTTGCTCTTCCTCGTTTCTTGTTGCGTCATCTTCCACTGGGATCAAATTGCAGTGGATCGTGTGTGACACTGGTTTCTCTAGCTGAAACAACCTGCGATGCCCCCCAAGAACAACAAGGTTAAACCAAGGGATCGTAAAAATCACTTATAGAGCCGTGATTCGTCTCTCAACAAAACGTTATCTTCCCATTTTGGAACATCTTATCAAGTTTCTTTTTGTATTCCCTTTGAAAAATGGGAGTTCAAGTAAATGAGATTGCTTACGGATGCTTGCACAAGGTCGGGCACTGAACAGTCAGTGCGTACTTGCAAGTGGATAGCTCGGTGATCGAAGTGACCATTGCCCTGGTTTCTGCGCATAGAAACCTCACCTGCATCGAACAATTACATTAATAACAAATCTTAATGCCATCATCCAACTGTAATGCAGAAACTACATTTTTTTATACCTCGACTTCTCTAGGAGTTCCTGTAAGATCACAGGTGGTTCCATTGGTGTATATATGAGAATGATACCTGCAACAAAAACAATAATAGAATCAACTTGAGATACACAGCCTTCTACTATAAAAGTCATGTAAAACCTTAAGCTTATACCTCTGTGATGCATCATCAGATACATTTTGATTAAAAGCAGCTGTTGCCTCTGGGTCATAAGTCCCCAAGGAAAACTGTTGGACAATCTGCAGTGGCAGGATTAAACGGTATTTACACAGCGGATCGCGTAAAGCCATAGCAGTAGACAGCGAATGTACGATAACAGTAGAAGCAAGAAAAGCCATACCTTGGTACCATCCTCAATGTGTAGCTGCCTTACAGACCCTTGATGACAAAACTCATAGGACCACCAACCCTCTTGCTGCAAAAATAACATCAGTTCAGTTTCTTGATTCAGTCAAAGAAACCCAAGAATGTGAAGCCAAGGCCTTACCCTGAGAAGGCATTTTTCAGTTAGTGGCTGAAGAAGTTCATCTTGAGTCTTAAGCTTGATCTGCTTATCGGTTTCCATCATCACAGTGCTGACATTTTGCTGAGTAGAGGTCCATCCACTCGTTGATTCTTCCTCTTTCGGTAAGAAACATAAATATTTACGCCCTTGCTTATCAAGCATAACCATAGATTCCAGATTATCACCCTATATTAGATCAAAATGATCAGGTAAGATCAAGATTAAGGTTTCAATGTTGAGCAAGCAATAGTAAACAACTCTATTCAAGTCAAAATGCTCCTCAAACAGTCAATCTCTTGAGCCAAGGTCAGCAAATCCTTTATTAAGCAAAATCAGCATTTCATCAAACACTTGGTGGGCATAAGAGAAAGCTAACAACCTAGATAAGTTTGATGAAGACTAATCTAGCATGAATAACAGATTAATAGAGAGGAACCCATAAACTGAAGTACTTAACAAGCTCTAATCAAGTCTTAAATTCCCCTAATCTACCACATCTAGAAACTCTAAGATAACTACTCGAAATCTGTTTTCCTTGCCTTTCAACCCCTCTTTCCACCAAAAGCCATGGGTTTGGAGGAGAGGATGAAAGAGTGATCTATACCGAAAGCCACAGATAGATCTTGTTTTGTTTTCGAGGCTTAGAGATCCTCACCAAGTGAGTCGATCTAAAGTTTCAAACCCAAGATCGATCCTTGAAACCCTTCACATGAATCTCAACCCCAAAGCCCTTTCTTTTAGCATATTTACTTCTCATTTCATCTTTTACTTGTTATCTGACAGCATCCTGGTCATCACATTCATTGTTCTTACGGTTTTAGACGAGATCGATCGTTTCTGCTCGATCTAGTGGTCGATCTTATGGTCGATCCACTAGTCGAATTTTAACATTTCGAAGCTCTTCCCTTTAATTTATCTGTTTGTTTCTCGTGGTAACTGCTTCCTTTCTAGTATTTTTAAAATAGGTTTCACTCTGTTTAAGTTGCTGCATTTAGTTTTTAGATTATTTCTCATAAACTGTCTCATTTGCTTAGATTTTTCTTGGACCTTGCATTCTCTGTGGATTCTCTATCATCTAGAAGTGGATTGACACTCTCCTGCTTTCTTTACTACAACGTTGCGTGCATTAGAGTTTTGATAACCTCTCTGCTGCATTAGAGCATAAGAAAACGTCTATCAGAGAACCTGAGAAATGTTAGACAAGCAGACACCAAAAGAGGATCCATAGACGCTAAAGTCGTCCATGAATACCTCCACCATTTCTTCAAGCACGTCAGAAAAGATAGAAGTCATACATCTTTGGAAAATAGCAGGAGCATTGCATAAACCAAAAGGCATTCTCCTATAAGCAAAAGTTCCATATGGGCAAGTAAATGTAGTTTTCTCTTGATCATTAGGATGAATAGGGATCTGAAAGAATCCACTATAACCATCTAAAAAGCAGTAATCTTATGATTTTCTAATCTTTCTAACATTTGGTCTATAAATGGCAAAGGGAAGTGATCTTTCCTAGAAGCAGAATTAAGTTTTTTGTAATCTATGCACATTCTATGACCAGTGATTGTTCTAGTTGGTATTAGCTCATCATTTTCATTTTTAACAACAGTGATCCCTCCCTTCTTAGGTACCACATGGACTGGTGAAACCCATGTGCTATCTGAGATGAGATAGATCACTCCTGCTTCAAGCAACTTCAAGATTTCCTTTTTACTACTTTTTTTAAATTAGGACTCAGTCTTCTCTAAGGTTCAATAGATGTTCTTGTCTCATCCTCTAGATGGATCCTGGGAGTGCGGAGGTTAGGAGATATACCTTGGATATCATCTAGTGAATACCCAATGGCTTTCATAAACCTCATTAACACCTTGACAAGGGCCAGGATCTCATCATCATTGAGGCTGTCATTGACTATAACAGGATAAGTGGAGTTAGGACCTAGGAAAACATACCTTAGCCCATGAGGAAGTGGTTTGAGTTCCACCTTTGGTGCCTTGAGTTCACTCCAGTCCTCATCTGAGCTGCTTTGCTTCTTGGCGTCAGCTTCCTTCCTTGGGGAACCACTTTCCTGAGCTGAGAAAGCTTCTTTTCTTGTGTACTCCAACTTTTCAAATGGCTCTTCCTCCTCAAAGAACCTGTGAGAGTCTAATCTCAGCTGATAACCCAAGCTTTCTTTATCCAAGTACCCATCATCTACATGCTCACTTGTCAAAGCCACTTGAAGTCTGTCCCCACAATAAAGCTCTTCTTGGAGTTCATCATGCAGTTTCTCTAAAATATCAATCTGGAACACTTGACCTTTAATAGTGGGCTGCTGCATAATCTGCTTGATGTTAAATTTCAGAGACATGTCTTTACCCAATTGTAGCTCAATCTTCCCTTTCTTGACATCAATGAGAGCTCCTGTTGTGGCTAGGAAGGGTCTCCCAAGAATGAGAGGGTCTTTGGGTTCCACATCCATGTCTAAAACCACAAAATCAGTAGGTATCTCTATACTCCCTATTCTGAGTGGTACATCTTCCAGCAAACCCTTGGGGAGTCTCACTGATCTATCAGCCAACACCAAAGAGATTCTACAATTTTTGAACTTGGTGAAACCTAGGCGTTGTGCTACGGAGTAAGGCATCAAGCTGACACTAGCCCCAAGGTCAGACAAACATTTGTCAAACAAAAGTTGACCTATAGAGCAGGGTAAGGTAAAACTTCCTGGATCTCCAAGCTTGTTGGGAGTCACTTTATTCTATTGGATAATAGCACTACACTCATGTGTGAGGATTACCATCCCTTGTAGATCTTTGGTTCTTTCAGCAACAGCATCCTTTAAGAATTTCTGATAAGGAGGCACTAGAACAAAGGCATCCAGCAATGGCATTGTTAGTTGGATCTTATTCATCTGTTCATCAAAGAGCCCTTTGTATTTAGCAACCAGTTGCTTCTTAAATCTACCAGGGAAAGGTATGGTTGGCTGATAGGGAGGAGGGATGAATCTTGGCTCCTTGACCAACTCCTTAGAAACTTCCTTCGGTTTTTCCTTAACCACTTCTTTGGACTTGGTGATATCTGAATCTCTTCCAGCTTCAGTTACTTCATCCTCTTGAGCTTCTTCAGCATCTTAAGCCTCCACCCCCTCTTCTTGTTCCTCAATGTCCACATTGGGTTTTGAAGGTGCCATTCTTGGTGGAAGTTGTTTCTCACTTCTTAGAGTGACAGCTTTAACACACTCTTGTGTTAGTGAAGATGTGGATGGGGGAGCCATGATTTCTAGTTGGTTGATCTTCATATTCATTAGCCCTATGTGCGACTGAAGTTTTGAGTCAATGCCTTTGTGTATTTCATCAGTCATACTCCTTTGAATATCAGTCAAGCTTTTTTGAATCTCATCAGCCATCATCTTCTGAATTCCCCCATTTGTAAGTTGTTGGAGTTGGATGAGTAGCTCTTTATAGTCCAAATCCTGTGGAGATGAAGAATTATTGATACCAGCTGTTTGGGAAGATAAAGCTTGATGCTGTGGAGAGAGAGTGTCTTCAATGGATTGGTGTATGTAGGCTTCATAGTCATGATGCTTCAGTGGCGCCTCTTGTTCTTGGACAGCTTTGACATGGTGTTCATTGTAAAGGTTGGGGGACTAGTTAAGCCATTACTCGAAATCTGTTTTCCTTGCCTTTCAACCCCTCTTTCCACCAAAAGCCATGGGTTTGGAGGAGAGGATGAAAGAGTGATCTATACCGAAAGCCACGGATAGATCTTGTTTTGTTTTCGAGGCTTAGAGATCCTCACCAAGTGAGTCGATCTAAAGTTTCAAACCCAAGATCGATCCTTGAAACCCTTCACATGAATCTCAACCCCAAAGCCCTTTCTTTTAGCATATTTACTTCTCATTTCATCTTTTACTTGTTATCTGACAGCATCCTGGTCATCATATTCATTGTTCTTACGGTTTTAGACGAGATCGATCGTTTCTGCTCGATGTAGTGGTCCATCTTATGGTCGATCCACTAGTCGAATTTTAACATTTCGAAGCTCTTCCCTTTAATTTATCTGTTTGTTTCTCGTGGTAACTGATTCCTTTCTAGTATTTTTAAAATAGGTTTCACTCTGTTTAAGTTGCTGCATTTAGTTTTTAGATTATTTCTCATAAACTGTCTCATTTGCTTAGATTTGTCTTGGACCTTGCATTCTCTGTGGATTCTCTATCATCTAGAAGTGGATTGACACTCTCCTGCTTGCTTTACTACAACGTTGCGTGCATTAGAGTTTTGATAACCTCTCTGCTGCATTAGAGCATAAGAAAACGTCTATCAAATGGCGCCGTTGCCATTCTAGGTTGTTTAGAGAACATAGAGATTTGGGTCTTAGCAAAGACTAAGTCTTTACCTTTTTCAAGTTACTAATCATACTACTCTAAACCGTGTTTTCAGGTACATGAATCTTCGTTCAAGGGGAGACAACAATCTACTACAGCCCTTAGACAACATTCATCAGCTTGGTCACTCACGGCAAAGGAGAGTCAGAGATCAAACAAGAGCCTTTGAGGAGATTGTTCAACACGGTCTGGTTAACTTTGAAGACATGGCTGAACACGAGCATCCAGAAGGACCTCCTCCAGCAGGACGGGGCAATGGAAACCCCCAACACGCGGCTCGACCTTCGAGGATCATAGGAGCCGAATATGCTCCCAATACCCACCACAATAGGTTTGGGATCACTCCTCCTCCGGTACAAAACAATAACTTCGAGATCAAGCCGGGTTTCATCTCCATGGTGCAAAACAACAAGTTCCACGGCTTAGCAATGGAAGACCCTTTGGAGCACTTGGACAATTTCGAACAAATATGTGGAATGATAAAGATCAACGGTATATCAGAAGATGCTTTCAAGCTGTGTCTCTTCCCCTTTTCACTCGGAGACAAAGCTAGACATTGGGAGAAGACCCTACCACAAGGCACCATCACAATGGACCTCTCTGTTTAGTAAATTGTGTTCCAACTATCTCCGATCCAGTGAGTGAAATGGTTACTCAGTGAGTCAATTTATATAAACGATTGAGAATTCTGAAGATCTGAGAGATTGGCATTGGTTTTACCGGGTGAAACGGTGAATCTTCAGGAAGAAACTCAATCTTGTACTTTGGTTCACGATTATTTCGGCTGAATGTTCCAACTGTTTAGAGAAAATCTAGGTTAGAAAACATTGCGCAGAACCATGGAATCTAATTTAAAAAGGTAAAACGCGGAATTGTTCGAAAATTATGAGAAGATTTTCATGTAAAATAATGAGAAGAGAGGAATTTATCTAGACCTAAATGAGCTGGAAAGATCTGTTCGGACAATACATGGGAGCTTGAAGAAAATGCAACGATTACTAGAAATAACAAGATCCGCTTGATTCTCATCTTCCTGATGCGACCAAAACTGAGATTGTGAAGCAAATAGCACCGGAGGAGAAGGCGACTGATAGGATCCAAAATGGGTATATCAAGTAGAATAAGGAGAATATTGAAATAAGAAGAAAAGGGATTGAGAATCAGAGAAATTAGAGAAGAGACGAAGAAGAAGAGAGGAAGAAGTCGAGAAAGAAAGATTTAGAAATTGTTTTTGGTGATCAAATAATATGATGATCCGATCCGATTACAGGGTAGAAGACAACATAAAATACTGTAATTAACTGGGCTTAAACGACACATTAGTGACGAAGCCCAACATAAACCCATTCTCCAATTTAAGATCGTATTAATACTCCTGCCTTGAAAAGCAACCTTGTCCCCAAGATTGAAGATGATGATTGTAGACTCTTGCTTTTTTTGCAGAAGAAGCAATTCGTACCTGAGATCTTCATGATCCTTTACTATTTTCTCATCTTTTCCCTATCCAACATGCACCTAGTAGATTAGAACTCCAATTGCAAATTGAAAATGGTAGGCTTGACACAACTGACTCGATTGCCAGCATCCTTGTAGTACTTATGTTCTTTGTCAAATAAGTTTATCTCGATCATAAAGTCTACTTTTTCATCATTCTTGAAAACTAGATGTTTCAGCCACTTATCAGCAAGATTTGAAGAAGAACCCAAGATCTTCTTTCCTGAGGTAGATACAACTTTTAATTCTGACTCTCTTAATTCTTTAAATCCACAACTGTTTTTCTCAGCTTGATTTAAAACTCCTCGGACCTTCATCTGTTTCATGTTCTCACTTAAGCCAAATTGCACCAACAATTTAATCGGATCCCAAAAGCAAAAACTCCATACAATGGATGATAACTCTGGTGGTCTTGGAGAGCAGAATATCCCATAGGTAAGGATTAATGTCGAAGCTTTCTCACTATGCTCCATTGCGGACATCACAGCATTCACTCATTTGAAAGCATCACTTCTAGCTTCTTTTCTCTTTACTTAACTTTGCCTAACCAATAACTCAGACGCCAAGACTATTAACATTAGGGTTCTAACCTCTTTCGAGCAGCTATTTTTTTCCATTCTGAATATCATTCTCATCAGCTCTTAGTTTCTTCTCTTCTTTGTTACCGATCAACCTTCTATGTATACTATTACTCGTGCTTAAGAGACACACCTTGTCCTCAGGGTGTAACAGCAACAGGTTTGACAATGAAGACAGAACATAACTTCGATGTCTCTTTTTGACCACGGTCAATAGCTCCTGACCATAAACATTGCCTCCCCCAAACTCAACAAAGAGCGATGCTAGCATAAAACAACCGGTCCCCAAAAGCTTCTTAAACTTTGACAACTTCATTACCTCTAGACATTAAAGTGTACACAACAACTCCTGCTTTAATTCAACTTTAATGCTTCTATAATAAACTCCAAGGCGGATTAATAAGCTCATAACATCCCCTATGATCACCACTTCAAACTCCCAATACCTATAACCTTGAAACCATTGTGTTAATCTCAGAAATCGATTACCATCTTTTTCCAACTTCAGAACACTATCACTGCTTGTAACTTTCTCAAACCAAACAGCTTGAGCGTAAGATGCTCCTCCTTGGATCATACGGTTGTTTATATTCCATATAAACTTCAGGCACTAGACGATTAGTAACATCCAGGTGGTGGCCAATTAGCAGCATAATTTGCTTTTTATACTCGCATGAATAGACTTCTAAACCCAAATATGCTTGTATATAAAAGTCAAAACACCAATGATACCCTGCCTCCACTGCCTTTCAAACTCTACCATCAGTTTCTTCTAACTTCAGAACACTATCCCCATTGCTGATCTTCTTAAACCATAATCTGCCACTATCATGGACATAAAATTCTTGCACCTTTAAACATTGATCACTGATTAGCCTAAACGATAAAATTCTTGCACCTCTAAACATTGATCAATGATTAGCCTAAACGGCATCTTATACCACTGTGAATTGATAGATACAATTTCTGTATCAACCTTCAATCTCCCTTCTTTAAACTGAGTCGTGAAACGTGAAAATATACTGAAGGGTGCTCTCTCTAAATAATCGCTAAAAACTGAGTTACCATTGCTTTTGCAAGCTTGTATCTCCATTTGCTCAGAATGTACTTCACTTCGATTTCGGCCTGGATCACGAGGCTGTTTACCATAGCTTTGTAAAGCTTGTATCAGATCATGTTGTGATTCATACTTTGTGGATTTCTTCTCGACCCCGCTGTGCTGTTTCTTCACTTGGAAACTGTGCATGCCAAAGATCATCTTCGCATAGCTCACACAAGTCTTTAAATCTGGCGTAGCTAGAGACTCATAATCCCTAAGCTTATCTTCACCCCTGGGTTCATCGTGTCCCAATTAAAGGTCACAACAATACCCATCAGCTTGGCCAAAAAGTGCTCCACCAGGTTTCCATACTTGATCAGCCTCCTTTAACAATTTGGTAAACGTTGTTAAGGGATCCTTCTCTTCCCAAGATCTCGTCTTCCCTTCAAAACTATGATAATCAATCTGCATTCTTTTATCCTTATGAATTTTGATCTCGCATAAATATATCTCCAAACAGTTTATCTTTTTTTTTCCAGTTCAACATTATAACACCTCACCATCAGATTGTCATGACTAAGCTGTTGCAAAAACCCAGATATTACTCGTGATTTATTTTTTCTGGCCTTGTGTTACCTTTGTTTGACAATGATCTTCCTAACTGCGAGATTTTTCCTGACCCTTTTACAATCAGAAAACCTTCACCCAAAAGTAATTTCGCTCACCATGTTCTGAGCCAGTTCACAATGAACTTGAGTTTGCTTGAGGAGTCCAAACTCATTAGCCTGCAAATCCATGTTTGGATTTTCGATCGAAGACTCCACGATTAAACCTTTTTATTTTTGGCCCGCCAGTTGCTCGATGAAATTCCCCTCAGGTTCTGCTTCCTTTTTTCTCTGCTTCGATTCTGTGACGGGTATCGCTGGTGTTGGAATTTGGACGTTTGCGATGGGACTGAAGAAACTCATTGGTGTGGTTTCTCCTCCTCCTTCATACACCAGATTTGGCATAAAGGAGCTCAGAGCTTCCTTATCCACTCCACGTCCTTGTCCATGCGATCCAGTCATTGCTTTAGCGTTAACAACGATTCAGGTTCTGACTCGAGTTCTAGAGAGCTAGCTCTCAGATCTGAAACGATAGCAACTACTAGTGAAGTAGGAGCCGTCACATCTCTCAATGGAAGCACCATTTGATAGGATCACTTGTATATATTTTTGTTTAAGCATTCTTCTTTAAAAATTTTAATCTTTAAGTCTTTGCTTTCTTGTTCATCCTTGCTTTACCAATTTTGAATTTTGTTCTTGAGTAGTCATTTTTAGGATCAGAGATTAAGATAGATTAATGACGTTTTGGGATAAGTTAATGAATGTCTTGTGCTTAATCATATTGTTTTCTCTCTATTTTGATGTTCTTAACACTAGGTTAGCCTTGATCATGCTTGCTTAGTATCTAGCTTTCTCTTATGCCTATGAAATATTTGATGAAATGTTGATTTATCACTTAGAGGATTAATCTAATCTAGCCTAAGGGATTAGCTGTCTAGAAGGTATTTTGGCTTTATAGAATTGAAATGTTATAATGCTTGTTGATCATTTGTCCACTAATGAGAATTAATTCTTGGATAAGTGTTTAGAAAACTGATTAATACCATGCGATTGGATTAGTTATATCTGTGAATTCTATGTCTAGGAATTAGCATTGTTATATGTTTTATGAAGCATCATTGATCATTCTTAAATCTCCCTATATCAATAATTGCTTTAGTATTGAACCCTGCTTTTGTGTTTGCATGTGGTTGTTAGTCTTCATTTCTTGTTCACCTTAAGTTGTTAGATTTCATTCCCTTCTTTTAAATTAAGCCTAGCTTAGCAAGTTTTCAGCATCTTGATTGTTTCTTAGCCTCTGGATTGGATTCATAACCTCTCTATACAACAATGACAAGTGTAGATAGATATTGAGAGTAGTAAAATACCTAATTTCTCTTTTTTCAATTGGCGCTGTTGCCAGTTCAGTGTGTTTAAGGTATTTGAGATTGATTTTTTGCTTAAACTAGGCTATTTTCTTTATGTTTTTTTTTCTGTTTTTGATGATTGGAGAAGGAACACTAGTTCCATTGCACTCTCATCTTTGAGTTCCATAAGAGTCAAAGCTTTGTGACTATAAACAAGCACACTTGGAAGGTGATTCGATGTCTATCCCTTGTATATATTTCTTCCTTATGCTTTTGATCTCTTTTGTTTAGAGTTTCAGGTTCATAAGATGGCTCAAATGGTGCATGAGAGCCTTGGGGGTTGATCAGGAGGTCATATCGGGCTGGATATCAAGCAGTTCTGCTCGATATTGGCTCATATCAAGCTGCATAACAGGCTGGCTTGCCCGATATTGGTCATACCGAGCTGCATACCGGGTATGATATCCCGGTACAAACCATCCTACAAAACGTATCGACTGAAGATTAGCTCGTACATACGGCTTACCTTCAGATTTGGCCTCTGCGTTCAGCATCAACGTTGTATCCACGTGAGTTATCTTTTAGGTGGACTTGGTCTCAGGTCATTCCGGTATGCGGTTGAAGAGATATCAAGGTTTTTACGAAACTGCTACAGAGACAACATGAAGGACTGTACCGAGCAAGCTGCTCGATATTAGGCATACTGACGTACATATCGGCCTAATTTGGTCGATACATAAGTCATAGGACACCATATTGGAGTACATAACGGGTATGCCAGCTCGATACACCTTGAAGGTGAATGTATTGAGCTGCATATCGAGCAAGGCGAGCCCGCTACAAACGGTCCTGTACGATGCTTCGACTGAAGATCAGCTAGAATGAAGTGTTTCCATTCCGATTTGGCATCGGCGTTCTCCATCCACATTGCCGCCACGTCAGTTAAATTTCACATGGATTTGGTCTCAAGTCATTATCATTGGTGGTTCAGGAGTTATGGCGATAATAGTAAGAACATGTCCACTGGAGTCTTATCAACCTAGTGAAAGATCAGCCAAGACAAAGGATGTTCATCTTGATTCAGCTTCTGGTGCCTTTATGAGAGTCATGGGAAACGGAATTAGATTTCATATGAAGTTTGTTTCGTATTATCT